CTCCACCGAGGTGAGATGTGGAAAATCAGAATGCTCCAGCTAGACCGCTGGAGCCACCGAAGACTCGCCCATGTTCATCTCGAACCTGGTTATTGGAAGGACTACGAAGTGCTACCAGGTTTAACGGGCTATGGACCCGTTACCGTCTTACACTAAAGAGCGTTGAGGAAGCGCTTTTAATTAACTCGTAAATGTAACTCTGTTTTATTTTTGTTTTAGTTTTAATTCGCAGTAAGTGCAAATATGTTCCCTAGCTCATGGGAACCACTCAAATGGAAGTCAATTTATTATTGGCTAATTATTGGGTCTGGCACCCCAATAATGAACCAATAATAAAAATGACGCGCAGTATCCGCTAATCGGATACTGCCCTATATCTACTTATGTATTAGGTAGACCCATTACAGCAGGGTTGCGCTGGTGTCAGCTATACGATGAAACGCATTCCATCCGAGATCACTCAAATGTCGGAAGTCGTCACGCGTTGCGTGATGACGTTCATCATCCGCTAATTCCATAGCGGATGGTGCGGTGATCGTTGAACGGACCACGAAGTGCAATGGGGGACCCTCCAAATATACTGATAACAGTTTAGTCTACCTTCACTGATGGCAGATTGAACAGGTGCCTCAATTACCTTACGTACACGTGAGCAGAGGAAGTCAATCAACTAAACAAACGCTTAGTCGAGAAGGAAAAGAAAACTGTATTTAATATAGTTAGCTATCTAATAAAACTAATCTGTTATAACCTATGTTAACTATATTAAACTACAACTATGTATGCTGACAACTTACCCTCCATTCATTGCGCACGTCCATTGGTCATTGGCCAGCGCGTTGGTTGATATGATGGCCCATATCAACCAATGATAGTGCATCTCCAACTTCAAGGAGATCTAGGGACAATATTATAAGAAAAGGTAATATTCTCAAATATTATTAGTTATAATAATATTTTGTTGACACTTCGTATAAGTGTCAATATTATGTAACGGACTCACCGTTACACAGAATAAGTATTCACAAGCTTTAGGAAGGCCTTTTCGCCCTCACCATCCCTAAGCAATTGACTACTTTTCCACGTATACTGTACAAACTTATTATTAGCCTGTTGAGGTTAAAGAGCTTTACGTGCCTATCACTACGATACCGGTACAAACACCATCTGTGAGTAATGACTTGGAGCTAAGTCTAATGAGGTGACAATCGATCAAAAGCTTGCTGGTATTTGTCAGTACTTCTTGCATAAGGGCGAAGCATGCAATATTCAAAAGTGTTCAATGCTACACAATTGCTTCAACAATGTGAATATACATGGACCTGGTGGCGCTTACTGTTAGTGAGCCGTGCTGAGAAGAAAATAGATGTGAAAGGCGTCTATCTCACTAAGAACTTATCCATTGACAACCATTAAGAATACATCAGTAAAAAGTTAACACAACAGCAAACGTTCATGGTGGAGATGGCAGCGGAGGCGAGTTTACGACGCAATTCGGTTTTGGTTGGTCCAATGGTGTAATTCTTACTGTCCTCACCAAGTATCAGACGAAGTAGACGAAACCGATGAGACGTCGATTCTGGTAACACGCAATGTAATGCTGAACTGTGTGCTGAAACGGGTTGAGGTTAATGAGTAGGCCGCGCACTTCATGCCATTTGATACAAAACATGCGTATTTCCTACGCAAAAAGCCTATCGAGCACTACTTATAATATGGCTTTGCTCTACCTAGTCATTTTCAATGACACCAGAAATAGTAAGTAATAGATAGGGTAGATTGATGTTGCCTCTGCGGCGGAGAGATCCTAAATGATTAACTTAGAGAAGGTCATCTGCGTGAAGGCATACTAGCGGGTGCTACTATGATCTCAAGCTTTGAATAAACGTTGTCGAAAGCGGGTAGCAAAAAAACTCACTAGATTTCCTGCTTGAATGAGTTAGCAGGGTTCGCCTGGAAAACCGCAAAAAGTGTCATAGAACGGATTCTGCCTGCAACTTGTTTTCCTATCCGTCTTACTCATAATAACGAAAGGATCGACCGATAACACCAGGCATGAGTTCTGAAACTCGAGAAGGGAGTCTCTCGAGTAAAACAGTCATTTTCTAGACTGTCGCGGATAGAGCAGCTCTTTGTTCTATTCAAAAACTTGATTTTGGAAAGAGACAGTAAAGCTTTAAGCATGAGCATGTGCCGCAAGTGTGTACCTCTCAATCTTCCCGATGAAGGGTTGCCGTGATAAAGCAAATATTTCATCAGTCCGAAGATTTGGCTCCTTTTCTTGTCTATCTTACAAAAAACAGGGCCATTTTTCTTATTACGGAGGAGACGGTCAGGGATCTGGAGTTCAAATTGAGCAACTTGGATCGGGGCATAATGCGGTGATCGACAATCGGAACACACAGGATGAGAACGCCGTCAAAAATGTTACTGTGTTACTATTCACTGCATTATTACGGAATTTACAAAGATGTATGGTATTGAGGCCTCACTTACTAGCAATTCATTTCCAATTGACGTCAGTTTGTGCAAGAAACAGTTTAAGAATAGAATTTGGGAATTCAAAAAACTATTGTTAAGAGCACACTTCGTATGCAACTTCGGCACACGCATGCAATCATCGTGAAGCTGCGCAACTTAGACAGGGCAGTCCACCTTACGCAGTGAAGGATTGCCCTTCGTCGTCGAATTCGTAGATGGCTTCTCCATGTTCGGGATCTCCGGAACACCTTGATCATTCTGATCATAGACATTTTTCTTCTCCGACTGCTCCTTTACGTCTTCCTGACTGTTCTCCTTCTTCTCCTTCTCCTGCTGCTCCTTCGTCTCCTTCTCCTGCTGCTCCTTCGTCTCCTTCTCCTGCTGCTCCTTCGTCTCCTTCTCCTGCTGCTCCTTCGTCTCCTTCTCCTGCTGCTCCTTCGTCTCCTTCTCCTGCTGCTCCTTCGTCTCCTTCTCCTGCTGCTCCTTTGTCTCCTTCTCTTGCTGCTCCTTCGTCTCCTTCTCTTGCTGCTCCTTCGTCTCCTTCTCTTGCTGCTTCTTTGACTCTTTCTCTTGCTGCTTCTTTGACTCTTTCTCTTGCTGCTCCTTCGTCGCCTTCTCCTGCTGCTCCTTCTTCTCCTTCTCCTGCTGCTCCTTCTTCTCCTTCTCTTGCTGTTCCTTCTTTTCTTTCTCCTGCTGCTCCTTCTTCTCCTTCTCCTGCTGCTCCTTCTTCTCCTTCTCCTGCTGCTCCTTATTCTCCTTCTCCTGCTGTTCTTTTTTGTCGTCCTGACCGTTCTCCTTCTTCGTATCCTCCTGACCAACCTGACCATTCTGATCATAGATATTCGTCTTCTCCGCCTGCTCCTTGTCGACCTCCTGACCGTTATCCTTCTTCTCCTTCTCCTGCTGCTCCTTCTTCTCCTTCTCCTGCTGCTCCTTCTTCTCCTTCTCCTGCTGCTCCTTCTTCTCCTTCTCCTGCTGCTCCTTCTTCTCCTTCTCCTGCTGCTCCTTCTTCTCCTTCTCCTGCTGCTCCTTCTTCTCCTTCTCCTGCTGCTCCTTCTTCTCCTTCTCCTGCTGCTCCTTTTTCTCTTTCTCCTGCTGCTCTTTCTTCTCCGTCTCCTGCTTCTCCTCCCCAGTGTTGCCGCCCTGGCCATTCTGTGCGTTAACGGACTGGGTTGCAGGGACCTCCTGCTCGTCCGACTTGTAAGCGCCCTGGTTGTTTTGGTCGTATATATTCTGCTCGGCGTTCCCTTCAATCTGGTTGGGAGCACCGAAACCACCGCCTTCACCCAGTTTGCGCTGCGTGGTCTCTGCGACGCTGTGTGTAGCGACATCGTTGGTGTTTCTGCTCGGAGTCATCCAGCCCGAGGCGGCATCAGTGGTCGACACAGCTGAAGCGGCAATTGCTGCAGCGAGTGCGACGTGAGCAATGATGCGTGAAAGTTGCATACTTGCAATAAAAAGCTTGAGGTGGTTGGTAGTATTGGATATGGGCTTCCAATGAAGCAAACGTTATTTGCGGAAGTTGGCAAATTGAGGAATGAGCTTCAAATGCTTGCATGCTCGAAGGCGAAGGGAGGGCTTGGAAAGAAAGCAAAGGCCAAGGGCTCCTTTTACTCTCGGAGCTCACAGTAAGTATCGCATCGAAATTCAACCAAACATCACACTGTCTTTTGTTCAAAAAAGGGGCTCGTCGTCTCGACGCAGGAATGTTTTCCAGATTTGCTCTTTTTCTGACAGAGACGCTGCTTCGATTTGACTCTCTTCTTTTGCTTTTGGTATGGTCAGATACAATACTTGTCGTCGTGTTAACTTGCATTCTCAAGGGAAACATTGGGAGCACTTCTGGAAATTACATTCCAAGCAGTTACGAGTCCTCGATTCGATATTTTGATGATAATCTACGCGATTTTGAGGATACAAGTTTTTCTGAGGAGACGAAGCGGTATGTTGCGTTAAGATTGTGAGAGATGTGTAATTCCTGGCGATCGGGTGTTGATGCGATAGTCCTGTTTGTTATGTGACGACACTGAGCGGTACGTAGACACCCTGGTTCTTTTATGTCTGTGTGGCGTTGCGGTGCAGTCTCTACGGACGTCCCAGATGGAAGGTGCATGTGGCAAGTGTCTCTGATTGATGAGGCTCCTACACTTGCAGATACTTGGAATGAACCGTTCCGCAATGAACGAGTGTTGCTACCTCAATTGTGGTCTGCAATCGTGGGAGCCGCACCGGCTGCCTCTTCGTTAGGATTACATGCTTCTCGCTTAATTGTGCAACATGCATTGAAATGGAAGGCCGATCGCTAGTTGTAAAGGGCCCTGCGAAACTCCTCGCTCTCTCTACGTTCCTACCCAAATTTTGCCTGAGCTTGGGATTTGGTGGCTATACGATGTACGACGTTCCTCGTTACTTCGTACAGTTCGTCTATGCATCAATCGCATGAAGGTATCCGACGTATGACGCAAAGGTATCCATACTTCGACGCGTCGACGAACTGGCTTGCCCTTAAAGTATTGCAGAAAAAAGACGCGAAGGAAAAAGAAAACGCACTGCTGTCCTCGTATTTTATAGTACCACATCTGTATGTCTATCCAAACCTACAAAAAAAAGTTTAAATCCTCGACTGAAACTCGTAATTACGTTGCTGCCGGTACCGCCCTTAGATTCTTAGCGTTTTTGGTCAGAAGAACTATTAACCAGCTTTTTTGAAGGTGTCGCCATCCTTAAACAATTGACTACTTTTCCGCGTATGCTGTACAAATCTAATATCAGCCTGTTGAGTTTAAAGCACGTGCTCCTTTTTGACAATCTGATTGGCTGATCTGGCATATGGCTGATTTTGAATTTTGCATTAATAATAACGTGCGCAGATCTCCATAATGCGTCCGGATATATATATGTCGTGCCCCTTTTTATATAATTGATCCACGATACGACGGGTACACATTGACCTTCATACCCATCATTACATATTAAACATAGCAATTTTTCGAAAAGAAATGTGGTATATGCTTTAGATTTGTTTAAAACATGGGCTTAGTACACTTAAAGTAGCAAAAGCAAGCGTTTTCATCATGTTAAACTAGATTTAGTTGCAATAAGCAAATACACCCATAAGTATTGTATCATAGTTAACAATTTGCCTGAGTCAACCGGATCCTCTGAAGTAAAAAGATGGGTACGAATATATTAAAAGGCAAGCTTCGCTCACCATGTCCATCGAACCGACGGGTACACATTGACCTGCGGAGCGACAGGTACACGTTAGCCTTCATACACATTAAATTTCATACTTTCATACACATTCACTTTATATTCTATAGTTAAGTTGAGTCAACCGGATACTCGATAGCAAAAGGATGGGCCAACATTGTAGACGGGCGCTTCGTAAAGAAGCTGCCACGTACTACGCATTCAGGTAGCGTGAGGAAGCCGTAAGACCGTCTTACCTCCGCGTGCGGTCGTGTTAGTGTTGGTCGACCGCTTAGAACGTCCAACGAACTGTTGCCGGCCGCTGAGAGCGATCCGCGCAACAAACTTTAACACAAGCACCTACTTGTGTAACGGGTAAATGTTACACGGTTCTTTAAGTATCGAATACTTAACGGACAGGCCTGAAAGGGTACGAGGTACCTTAACCTGCCACTTGGGTGAGGCGCATCAATGTGAACCACTCTCGTAAATGTGATATCCATGGATGGATTCACATCAACAGGGATGACGTCCACTGGGACTAGGCGTCATGGTGACGCTTCAGACGGACGTCATCAGCGAGCTTAAATATATGTTGAGCTCGCACGTAAGGATACGCTTCTAAAGAGACGCGTATTCGATCAATATATTTGACCAGTCAGTAGTTAGCTTTATATTTAGTTAATTTCACTTAAAAATGAGTCAGTCTTGAATTTACTAATTACCGCCAACTGCGCACTAGAAGCTGAATAATCTTCTGCGTGACGTAGCTGAGACACATGTTAGTTATTCATTGCGCGGATCTCTCTAAGCGGCAGGCAACAGTTCGTTGGACGTTCTAAGCGGTCGACCAATACTACCACCACCGCACGCGGACGTAAGACGGTCTAAACGCTTCCTCGCGCTGCCTAAATGCGTAGTACGTGGCAGCTTCTTTACCAAGCGTCCGTCTACACTTGGTAGCACTTGTAGTTCTTCCCACGATCCATCTCTCTGAGCGTGGTTGAGATGGTCCTTAACGTGGATTGGGGTAATTTTACTCACCTCTCCCAACATCATAGGGAGGTGGCAGAGCATTTCGTGCAAGGACTTGGTGAACAAGCCCTGACCAACCTCTTGAAATTGTCCTCCTGAGCAACATGTTTCTTAGTTGGAGTAATTCGAGGCGTTTATACTCGGACAGCGTAAAAACGCATCCGAGGAAAACAGTCAAGCCACGGCTGAGTCCATCAATAAGACTCAAGATGAGCTTTTGTCCCCACCTAAGATTGTCCACTGGATTTTAGCCGTGGAGAAATGCAATATGGAGCAGATCATCGAAGACGACACCAGAATGGTGTCG